CTAAACCCTAAACCCTAAAGCGTTGGTCCTGGAAACCTTTGGTTAAAGATGTTGCCAGCGATGCCGAGGATGGGCAGAATTCCAATCATGAGGCCGGCGAAGAGCCGACCAGCCCCTAACCTCGAGTTCGAGTTTTGGGGGGTTTAGGGTTTAGGGTTTAGGGTTTAGGGTTTAGGGGGGGTCTGTGGTTTAGAGTTGCGGGCTCGGGGTCTGTGGTTTCGAGTTTCGGGCTCGGGTTTAGGGTTTTGGGGTCCGTGGTTTGGGCTCGGGTTTGGGGTTTAGGGCTTGGGGTTTGGAGGTTGAACGGTATGAGTACTCTTGCTACGTGTGTCAGCCATTGACACCTTGCCCTGGCTACTGAATTTGGTCACCTTTCTCGAAAAGTGGCTAGTAGTACTCGTGATTGATACACACAGCACTGTGAAGTGTCCTTGGAAATCCTCTAACTCCTTTATATAACGTAGGGGCCTTCATAATAAGAATAGGGTTTTGGGGATGCCTTATTATAATTACAGTATAATAAACCCCAAACCCTATTCTAACTATGGGGGCCCCTATATTACTCCGGCAACTACACACTCTCGCTCCTCCTCTGCCTTCATGTTCTCGCAAGTCGCCAAAGTCGAGCAAAGGATCTTGAACCCCCTAAACCCCTTAAACCCTAAACCCCCTCAACCCTAAACCATAAACCCCTAAGGCCCTCAATGGGTTGAGGCTTGCTGATTCTTAACCCTAAACCCTAAACCCTATACCCTAAGCCCTCAAGCCCCTAAACCCTAAACCCTAGACCCTAAACCCTAAACCCCTATACCCTATACCCTAAACCCTAAACCCTAAACCCTAAACCCTAAACCCTGAACCCCTATACCCAAACCCCTAAGCCCCCAAAACCCTAAACCCTAAACCCGCGGGTGGGTTGAGGGTGAGGGCTCTAGGGCTGAAGGCTGGACGAGTGAGGCTTTAGGGTCTAAGCCTTAAGCCCTAAACTTCCTAAACCCTAAACCCTAAACCCTAAACCCTAAACCCTAAACCCTAAACTTCCTAAACCCTCAGCCCTAAACCCTGTAGGGTTTCAGAGTTTAGGGTTTAGGGTTTAGGGTTTAGGGTTTAGGGTTTAGGGTTTAGGGTTTAGGGGTTTCAGAGTTTAGGGTTTAGGGTTTAAGTAACTACAGATATATACTTGGAGGATCATGGGACTTAGTAAGTATGGTTATAAGTACCCTAATTGGGCTTATAAGTAGCTATTAGTATAGTTACCCTCACAATAACCTTAATTACAAAGTCCCATGATCCTTTAAGTATGGTAACTACCCACCTGAAAATGTCCTAGACCTAAACTTCCCTAAACCCTCAGCCCTCAACCCTACGCCCTAAACTTCCCTTCATGGCTTTAGGCTTTAAGGGTTTAGGATTTAGGGAACCCTAAACCCTGAACCCTAAATACACGGTTGAGGGTTTACGGTGCAAGGTCTAGGGCTTAAGGTTTGAGGTTTCGGATTTGGGGCTTTCGGTGAGGCTTTTTGAGGTTCAACACAGAAGCCTCGACCCTAAACCCGAAACCCGAAACCCGAAACCCTAAACCCTAAACCCTAAACCCTAAACCCCTAAACCCTACACTAAACCCTAAACCCTGAGTTGATGAAAGCCCTCCCCGGCCTTTCGGCATATTCGTTCGCCGTTGGGATTGTGATCACCAAGTTCACCGTCGCCAAAACCTGTGGTTTCGGGTTTTCGGTTTAGGGTTTGGGGCTTGGGGGGTGTAGGGTTTAAGGGTTCGGGGTTTAGGGAGGTTTGGGGTTTAGGGTTGGGGTTTAGGGGTTTAGGGTTTCGGGTTTAGGGTTTAGGGCTTACCCCAAACTCTAAACCCTAGACCCTGGTTTTTTACACATGCTAGATCCACCCCTGCCAATGGACCTCCCCGCGACACGAGGCATGCGAGATGGGCAAACTCACAGGGTTTAGGTTTAGGGCTTAGGGTTTAGGGTTTCGAGCTTAGGCTATGGCTGAATCCTAACATCTTATGAACACGTGCAACATAGACTCCGCCCTGTCATCTGCCTCTGCGTATATGATTAGCTGTACATACCCATGAGTAATATACATATAGGTTACTGCCAACAGACGTAAAAGGTTCTGCACCAAAGGGAAGTAGACCGCAATATGAACCTTCTTACGACTCTTAGAAAACCATCATAAACACACTCTCCACAACGCCCTGGAAACCTTTGACAGCCCTCTGGGACGCCCTGCAGAACCCCTTCCAAAACCCTTAACCCTAAACCCTAAATCAAACCCTAAACCCCAAACCCTTAGCCCTAAAACCCTAAACCTCGAACCCTTAACCTCCCTAAACCCTGAACCCCTAGACCCTAAGCCCTAAACCCTAAACCGTAAACCCCTAAACCCCTAAACCCTAAATCCTAAACCCTAAACCCGATGGCCCAGTCGCCAGGAAGTAGTGGATCAGAGCCAGCGAGCTGAAGGGCGGCATTCGCTCCTATGAGGCGTCAGAGCGGAACCTTAAGGTGTCGGGTTTAACATCTGGGGTTTAGGCTACACCCTAAAACCTCAACCCTATACCCTAAACCCTAAACCCAATGCCCTAAACCCTAAGCCCTATACCCTAAACCCTAAACCCTAAACCCTAAACCCCAAACCCTAAACCCTTTAGGGTTATGGGCTTAGGAGACTTTTCGGGTCAGGGATTTAGGGCTTGAGGGTTCTATGCAGGTCCCGTTTCGGGATTCAGGTCCCGAGGGTTTGAAGCTTTGAGTTTAGGGTTTGAGCTTAGGCCCTAAGGTTTTAGGGTTCAGGGTTCAGGGTTTAGGGTTTAGGGTTTAGGGTGCAGGATTAGGGTTTAGGGTTTAGGGGTTGGGGTTAGGGTTTAGGGTTGGGGGTTTAGGGTTTAGCCCTGCAACCCTAAACCTCTAAACCTCTAAACCCTAGGCGCTAAAGGGCTGAATCATCTAGGCTTCCCATTGAGGGTGAAATTAGAACAGGGTTTTGGGGTCCTTTATAATAGAGTTATAATAAGGAACCCCAAAATACTATAGGTAATGATTGAGGCCCCTATATAATATAGTTATAGTAGGGAACCCCCCAAAATCATATAGGTAATTCTTGAGCCCCCAATATTACTCGACTTCCACAGCTCGGGCGGAAAGCCTGGGGTGCAGGAAATCGCTTCGGCGTCATACTAGGGCCTTAAACGGTTTAGGGTTTAGGGTTTAGGGTTTAGGGTTTAGGGTTTAGGGTTTAGGGTTTATTAACTCTCTTCTTCAACAACCAGGCCCAAAAAGTTCAAACTCTTTTAGGATAGACCTAATAGATAAGGCCAAAAGATTAAAGTTCTCCATTTGGCTATCTAAGTTAATGATAAGAACCGACCTCGGGGCAACAAGAAGGGAACCCCAGGGAACAACAATGGTTTTGTCCGGCCTCAAATATATGCAGATATAGATATGTATATATATATATATATGCATATGCGTACATATTTATATATATACATATATATATATGTTTATATATATATAGAAGTTTTTCAGGAAAAAAAACAATGAATCGCAGTGGGCGCGAACGAACCTCAACCCTCAGCCCGAAATCCCCAAGCAGGAGATCTGGCCCCGCAAGCCGAGCAAGCCCCAAGTTGAGAAAGGACGCCAAACAACCAAAAAGGCTCCAAGCTACTTGTCCTTTGTGAACCCTACTTCACTTCAGACGTAATCAAAAAAACCTTAAGCCTAAACATACATATATATATATA